TGAAGAGGTTTAGTGGTTTAAAGGTTACAGTGGTAGTGCTGGGTGGACAGTTGGATTGGATATTCTTGAGGGTCTCTTCCAACATGAATGATTTTATGATTCTAGTCTTAAATATGGTAAATTTCTCATCTTTCACCATGTATTTCCTCAGCTTCAGATGGGCTGCATCTAGACTACAGAGAGCTTGACTCTTTCCAAATTTCTATTAAGTTGAAAAGCAGGCAGTGTTCTGAAACAATCACCTTCCTAGAGAATCCATAAAAAATCCAAGAAGCAAATACCATGCAAACAAATTCATAATAAAAATGGGGCCAAACACAGACTTTGAGTACATATGTCTACAACAATGAGATTTGGAAAAAAATAAAATTATGGATCTATGTTTAAACGGCTTTTCCACTTACTGTTACAGAAAACCTAAATTATACACTTTGTGACCATCTGTAATGTCAGTAACAGCAGCTGCTCCCAATTTACCATGTAGTACTACTGTACATATTATTCGCTTTGGAAATTGCTTTTAGTTTCTAGAACTACATCATGATGGTTTGATTTTTTTTTTAAATGCGTACCAGCAATTTACAAAGCTATAACTATTTAGTAGGAATTACTCTATGCTAACAGTGGTTTTGTAGTAGTTATTTCCTTTTTGCCATCTTCTGTGAATGTTTATTTGATATGTTAAGCATGTGAGAGTGGTGTTTGAGTATGTATATGTGTGCAGATTTACATGCTGGCATAGGCTGACATAATTGTTTTCCAGATATTTGTGGAAACTGGTTGTTAATCACTGCTGTTTTTCTGACTTCACTTCATTTAGATATCTTCTCCTCTTATGATAACTTCCTAACCATGGAAAAGACAGTGCATAAAAAATAAAACCACTAAAGAGAGCAGATGTAAAACCTGTTTAGAGTATTTCAGGAAAAGTTAAGGAAAAAGGAAGAGATGGTTACATTGCAAAAAAGATTTCAGTGATTTAAATTGTAAACTTCCTCAAAGTTCAATAACACAGAATTTTTAGGTTGCTTCCAGATATCAATCATGTTCTCACCAAGTACTTCATGGGGACTTCACACTCCAGGCTAGTATGTAGAAATATCTTCTGCCCTGATTCTTTGCTGTCACAAGCAAGGAAAACAATCTTGTATTAAGGAAAAGGTTTCAGACAGTTTTTACTGGAATGTTATGTTACTCATAGCTAGTGATGGATACTAAAAGACAATCTTGACTTGGAAATTTAATCAATTGACTCCATTCTTGATCAAGGACTGTAGCATTACACTCTTGTTGTCTGACATAAAAATAATTGATGGACTGGATAAGTATTCAGTTGTTTTCCTGGAACATATCAAGAATGTTCATCAGGAACATCTTCTGTATAGTGTCAGCCTTATACCTTTGTGGCTCTGTGGATTGTAGCTGCTCCAGGCTATTAAACATCAACCTTCATATTCTTTCATTTTGCAGTCAGCAAGAAATGTTTTGCAAAAAGATGTTGCAATAGATGAGAGAGACTCAAAAGGTCTGTTTCACTGAACTTTTAGGAAGTTCATTATTCAAATAATTAGAACATATTTTTTAGTTTAATAATGTCTTCTATTCTACTTTCATTAGGTAAATTCTGTAAATTTGGTAATTTATTTTCTTACACAGTAAAGATTTTTTACACAGTAAAAATTCTTCTGCCTTATTTTTCTGGTTTTTGTTCCTGCTTTTTTTTCTCTTATGTTCCACATTTACTATCAGAATTGGGGTTTTCTTTTTTTTTTCCCCTTTTTCTCACATTTCAAGACTACATTTTACATTCTAATGCCGGGTGGATTTGGTGCTTGGGTACAGTTACTAAGGATTACTTGGAAATTTTTTATCATCTAACTAATACAACTGCTCATAAATTATCTCCCAGAATTTTATAGAAAATAAATACTTGTTGAGTCAATACTTGAAATCACCATTATCGGAAGTCTGTAAGAAAGTTGGTTTCTTATTTATTTATTTCCTTTTTAATTCATCAAAGCTTATGAGCAAAAAAATGAACATAGACTGACTTTCAGTTCTGTTGTGAAGTTGGTTTGGTTGATTTGGAAGTGTTCTTTTTTGTTTCCAATGTTTCCAATGAGATGCATTTCACAAAGGGTAAAGGTATTGCAGAAATAATTAACCAAAGTGGAAATAAATGTAATTATTGCTCTTAAAATGAAACAGGAAAATAACAGCAATTTGGAGAAAGAAAAAGCATAAAAATAATGAACAAAAAAATATTAATCTAGTCCTGAAGGCAACTGGCATTTGGCAATTCATTTTGCCATTCTCAGTATTTAGTAATTTAAACCATTGGTTTCCAGGAAAAACCAAAGAAACCAAATTGCTTCTGTCCCTCCTGTATATCCCCTCTGTTTCATGTATTATATTCTATAGGAAGGAAGGAAGGAAGGAAGGAAGGAAGGAAGGAAGGAAGGAAGGAAGGAAGGAAGGAAGGACAGAAGTAAATAATTAGATGGAAAGTTTGAAAATAATTTATATGGTAAAAAGTAGTGTTTCTTTATTTTGATAAGATGAACGTACATAATAGAAATGACAAAACCTGAGACATAATATATCTTTTCTACTGGTGGGAAACACATAAAGAAAAACTGATATACCAGAAATACTTGTATTCAAGCATTACCAGAAGAAAATGAAATAAAATAAGATAAAATTAAGTCAGAAGTTTCTTTTAATAATTATGAATATGAGAATTATATGCCTCACAATGAATATATGTCTGAAAGTATCTGGGACTGGGCTGCGAGCCGCAGTAGTTCTTGCTATTCCTCATCTATCCAAGCCTCTCCATGACCTTCAAAGAGCCCTTCATGCTCCCTATCAGCAAAACAGAGACAATGATATTTAGAGAAGAAATCTGCAGCTACAGCACTTCAGCTGTCGATCTCATCCTAAGAAGGATTCCCAGGCTGCAGGTGATTATAATTGTGGGAGCACATTTCTAGTAAAGGCACCACCATGGTGAGATATTAAGCTCATCTCCTGCCTTTAAAGTTCTGGTGCATGTCCCTTTTTCTGAGAGGTGTTAACAGCTGAGTCCTAGCCATGTTCTGTCTCTGTTTAATGCTCTCCCAAATCCACTTGCAGCTGGATAAAGAATTTATTTCCTATGACCCCTGTAGGGGTACACAGTGTGATACTGAGCTGTCATCATGTTCCTTTCACGGGAGTGTGGCATCCGGATGGGGTTGGCAGTTCCCCTGTGTGCGTGTGCACATGTAGGCATGCACATCTGCAACTTGATTCCTTCATTCTTTACAGCTTATGCAGTCACTTGGTTGTCTATAAAGCAAAAACAGAGTTGGGAAAAAATTGCTGTGACAATGTTTTTTCTATAGATAGAAACAACCATACACAGGGCAAGGCAAAGGCAACTGCAAAGGCAGGGCAGACACTAGGAGATGTTTCATGGAGCCAGCCACTGTATGTGCATAGCACATATGTGCACAGCATTCTTCACCTAAGCATTGTGGTTTTTCTTGTGTAACACTTTTTTTGGGCCTATGCATTGCTACAAGCCTACTGAGTGCAATACATAGCTGCCATTTTGTGTTCTGCAGCAATAAAGAAGACTTATTTCAGAACATCTGCAAGAGACTTCACTGTTCTTTGCATGTTTTTTTAAAGCTAATCTAAAGCAGAAATTAGAGGCTCCAAGATCTTTTACATCACATTTTGAAGTACCATCTCCTGCAAATGTGGCAAGGACTCAAGGAACTAGTAAAACAAATGAGATACGGATATAGTTTTGAAAATTAATTATGAAGAAAACACCAGTATTCCTGATGACTGAACTAATTAACAAGGGATGAAAAAAAGAAAGACTATAAGATGGAAAAAGGTATGTCAGAGACTTAGTGTAAGTACATTGCTTAGCTAGGCAAAACTGCTCTTCATTGGAACAGTAAGGATTAGCACATCTTCAAAGAAAAATAATAAAATATTTTGAAGCACAGGATTGTTTTCAGTAATTAGAAGCACGGAATTAATTTTCTTCAGTCTTCTAATACTCTTTTCAAAGAGTACATTTTTCAGGTAACTGAAAGCATTAGGAATTCTGATAGAGCACAAGAGGATTGCTGCCATGCAGGTTCGCTGTGGATATTCAACAGCTTCATTGAACTGAACTTGAACTGGGAACTTCTAGTAGAGAATGATGAAGTGTTCAGAACTAAATATATTCACCTTTCATTTAAATTCTATGTAATTTTTTTGACCCCACCAAAAAAGTACTTCAGCCTTACTCTGCGTCTAAATATTTATTCTGGAATAGGCATCAATCTTTATCATCCCTTTCAGTTTCCATTTAGCCACTAGTGGCATTTTTAAAGCCAGTTCTCTGCTGCCTAGACTGTAAGACCCTGCACACACAAGGTGCTGGAGCTGAATCCTGCCAGGAGTTAATTAGTTACTTGAAACTCTCGTTCAAGTTAAAATTTCTCAGAGTTTCAGACTGTGCCAGGAGAAACACTTTCTTATTACAAGTACATGACCCTTTGGTTCAGAGTGTGCTGAGAAGAAAAGCCCCTACAAAACAACAAACAGTCTGACAGATTACACAGCAGGAAAACCTGGACATAGACATGGGAGTGCTCACGAGACAATGCAGCATATTTCTCTCTTTCTCCCAATAAGTAAAACTTTTTTGTGTATTATGTAGTAGCTCCAAAGGAGATTAGAAAGTCAAATTTGTACCAGAGTAGTAAATAGATAATGGTGAAGACAGAAACATAAAATATTCAGGATCGAAAAATTCACCCTTCAGCTTACTCAGGACAGTCTTGTAATAGGGATGCTCTTGAAGATCTTTGCATCCACATAAGGGATTTAAGTTTCCTACAGCACTGGTGGGTAACCTGCCAAGATACTCACAGACCTTTTTTGTTAATTTTGTACTTTTGTCTTTTCTCAAAGGAAAGGGAGTAAAAAATGTCTTTGCTTAAAAGGGAACTTTGAACAGGAGCTTAATTTGAGATCATGATTCCAAAAGCCAAAAGAAAGAAGCTACATGTAATTTGAGAGATGCTTACTCATCTCTGCCTCCTTTTACCAGGTAATTCCCAGGCTTTGCTCTGCACATCAGTGATAATTAGCTCAAATAGTGCCTGACTTAGATAGTTTCTAAAAATTCTTTCCTCAGATACATAAATCTTATCAACTAATCTAGAGTTAACTGAAGGTTAGGCATGAATTATTGAAGTAACTAAATATGTTTGATGATCTGCCTCATAAATCACAAGCTCTAAAACCTCCACAAAGATTCTCACCTAAGCCCATGAAAACAAAGAAGGGCACCCTAGGGACTTGCCCAAGAAGAATTCACCATGCCATGAACACCTCTTGATTTCTCTAGTGCCCAGGGAAATTCATCTTTACTCCAAATTCTGCAACTGTGTTAATGAACTTGGGCACATCAACTGTTTGCTTGGCCCTGTTTCTAACAGCACTGCAGTTGAAAGTATTTACAGTCTAAGGGAATCTTCAGTAAATGCTCCAGAAAACAACTCCTTCTTTATCCCTTACAAGTGCGTAATGGCAGGGCATGATAACACTCCTCTTCAGAAAGAAGGCATTCACATAGAAAGATATATGGTACAGCTTGACAGATAGGTACATCACCCTGTTTAAATAGTTTATTTTCCCTTTGCTGCAAAAGGCTCAAAGGGTCTATACTCAGCCCCTTCAATAACAACACTGTAATTTAGAGGCTCCTTGCAAGGCAGGTAGAGTCCTGATTTCATTGCACTGCATGAGTCCAGTGTACAGTGAGAAAAAAATAAAAACTATTTTTATTTTGAAAATCCAACCTATTTAGTACATACCAAACCAAGTTAGACATTTTCAAATAGGTTGTTTATATGTTTTGGGGTAAGAAAAGATATTTTAAGACAGGAAAAAGTCAGCTTGCTTTTCAAATAATAAATCAAATATGCAACAAAAAACAGAAAGGAAACAAAAATTTTAGATTTTTAGAACACAAGTTACACTAAAATATGTATACTGTGAAAAGAACATTTGCACTTTTTTTGGTGCAATGTGCAAGGGAGATTTACTAGGAGATGAAAGGAAATGTACTACATGGTTCTGAAATTAACTTTACCCCCTAATGATTGGATCTCATAGACATATACTAGCTGCTGAGGCTGGCAGACTTTTAAAACTCCATGCCTGCAGTTCAGAAATAATTTTTTGGAGGGAATAATTGAGAGTATGACAGTTTGTCTACAAATATGTCACTATGTGTTTACTTCACCGTGTGTCAATTGGATTAGTTCCTTATTCAGGGAGAAGAAGCTGAATCAGCCATTGCAGATTGCCTGCTGCCTCCTCTGCCCCTGCAGCCTGGAAGGGACCCCTCCTGCTACCAAGCAAAGCAGGGAGTAAAAATCCAAATACCATGCCCTTGACTTGGTTATGGAAAAGAAAACAGGTTAGTAATAAATTAAATGGGCTTCTATGGAGACAGCTGTTAACTGTATGCCTCAATTTACCCATTTTCTGCACAGCAGTTTGTGTAGGTGTCAGAGGAATCTCAATAGTTCACCAATTACTGGAAAACTCAGTGAGTTAAATGTTTGGCTGAATGATGGCTGGATTTTTTTTTTAATTCTGCTTTTCCCTCTGCAAACAGCTGATGCCTGCATTAAGCTAAGATCAAATGAAAAATGCATTCAGCATTTCAGAGATACCCAGAAGCAAAATAGCAATATCAGGAGCTAAGCTTTCTTACGCTTCCTTTGTATATGTCAACTTATATTACCCAGGGTGATGTATCATCCTTCCCAGTGTACTTAATATTATAATGCAAGTGGATTATTAATATGGAAAGTCATGAGACTATTTCTTTCATATGCAAAATAAATCACATGCAACCACACCTCTGATGTGAACTTTTGAACGTGAAAGCTGCAAAAATTGCTTTTTACACAGTCCTGGGAGTTTCGATATGGCCTACAACATTTTTCTTTTTTTTTTTTCCCCAACAGATGAAAAATGTCCCTGTTCATGGTCAGAAATTACCACACTAACCTGTGATAGCTGAATCATGGAAGGTATATATGACACCTTTCTAAAATGCTTGTTCTGATTTCTTTTAGTATGAAGATGCAGCACAGAAGTGGAAAACTCAGTAGAAATATTCCCTAATAGCCTAAGAGGGATAAATATTACTATAAATAACAATTGTATCTCTCTTACCATTTCTTTGTCTTTAACTGTCTCTAAGGTAAAAATAATTTTATTTCTCTAGCTATGATTTTCTTTTTTTGCCCCTTTTATATTGATATCTCCATGTCATTGTGAGGGTTTTCCCCCTTTTTTTCAATTTTTTTTTTTCTATTTGTTTGGTTTGCATTTATTTAATTTATATATATTTCATAAAAATTTAGAATGAAAAAAAAAAAAAAAACACAAACAAAAAAACGAGCAAAAAAGCCAAATAAAGGGGCACAGTTAAGCACCGGGCACATCATGCAGATTCTAGGTACTGGTACTGGCTCCAAGAGTCTAATTCTTCTTTCTTAAAAGCCAGTTAGTCTTATAAGAGATGTCTGTGACAACAGAGTAGTATTTTGAATTTTTATTATGATTTCAGTTTGGGGGTTTTGTTTTGTTTGTGTTTTTGTATGTGGCTTGTTTGTCTGTTTCCATTTAAATTCTAAATACAATACTCAGATTTTACTCACAGGAAGACCAGTTTTGTTTCTTATGCCAGATATTTTGCGTGAATTATGTGGAGCAGCCAGAATAAGGTTGCCTTCCTCTCAGCTATTTTATGACAGTCTTTTTAGGAAAATGTTTCACCCAAATATAGACTACAAATATTTGAAAGAAAAATTCAACCTAATTATGAAATCTGCTTCATATATCAATGTAGATTAAAGTTAACATGCTAGGATGTGGCAACAAAATCTTTTTATAAGTAGTTAAAAAGACCAGACTTCTGTGAAAGAAGGGGAAGAGAAGAGAAGAGAAGAGAAGAGAAGAGAAGAGAAGAGAAGAGAAGAGAAGAGAAGAGAAGAGAAGAGAAGAGAAGAGAAGAGAGAAGTATTTCAGAAGGATCCACAAATCACATCTCCAGATCACACAGAAAAAGAATCACCCTGTACAGAAATCACCACCCAGCGAGTATCTGCCAGCTTCAGTTTTCATACAGGCCCTTTACTTCCTACCACTTACCCAGGAACTGAACTGAGCCTGCAGTGTCAAACCTCAGTATTAATGAACTTGTTTTTTTTACAGCTATGACAGGATTTGGCTTTTCTGACTATAAACCTCCCCTTCTAAGAAAAAAAAGGAGATAAACAGCCCAAAAGAAATAAAGGGCACCACATTTAAGGCTGAATTGAAATAAATGTCCTACCAAACTCAGCAATATCCTGTATTGATGATGAGTTTAGCAGTTTACAAATGTATACTCAAAAAAGAGGGTCCTCTCTGAATGCCTCAATATTTCCAGCATATCCCATAATAAGCCTAATGGTTTACCACATAATTGCATCATTAGTAAAACGGTGTTCTTCTTCAGTTACAACTTTCTATTGGCTTACAGAAAGGATTTCAAATTTGCATTTAAATGAAATTGAGCAAAGAGTGATAAAGGCTTCAATTAAAAGGCCACCTGTTTTTGTTAATTCATTTTTAATAGGAACAGTAAATATTTTCAGTTGATGCACTTTCTGCTTCAAGATTAGTACATTCTTCTCTTCTTTATCTCCAGTGTCAGACACCCCTCATTAGAGGAGTCTGTCATTTTCTCTGACTAAAGGAACCTGTCTCAAGTTTTATGAATCTGTTGGTACAAGACAAATAATAAAGTAAACCAAAGAGCTATTTAGAAAATGCAAACAAAAACACCCCAACGTATGATCAAAGTAAATTCTGTAAATAAATTATTTCAAAAAATCAATTAGTTCCAAGGATGGGTGGAAGCTGGTTCCACAAACAAAACACTCAAATTCTTTCTTCATTTACACTCTTCTTGGAGGTTGCTGATCTCACTTGGGCACACTGGTATGAAACAAAAGTAATCTTCCATGTCATAATTATGTAATGCAATTAAAACTTAAGGATTACAAATATGTAAAACACAAATCATGACAAGAAGCTTTTGTGAAATACAAACCCAACTGGTGTTCACAGAGTATGAGCTCCAACTGGCATCTGGAAATAATAAATCTTTCTATAAAATGCCTTCCTTTGATGCTAATTTTTTTCACTTTTTTGCTCTTGTCTTCTTGGTTTACAGGTCTAGTTTTGTTCAGTTGCCATTAGAAACTGAGCAACTCATCTTGCTTATCTAATATTTTTGAAATAATTTGTTGCCATAATTGCTTCTGTTTTCCATTTACTGTAACCATAACTACTAATTTGCTAACAACTGCTGCACATCTGTTATAACCAAAGCTTAAAAATCCAGAATATCCACAAGAACAACTTGCAGTGGACTCTTCTCTTTTGGGATGCAGCATAAGCATTTAAATAAAGAATTGAAGCATTTAATTAGTTTTTGCTTGTTTCCTGTTAGCAGGACATCATAGCAGAAAATAAATGGATTAAGTTTCTTGTAACACAAGCTGGGAGAGATCTTCACAGTTGCTTTTCATTCTCAGATTCTTATTTAAGGGAAACACAGGGGTCCAATCCCACTTTTAAAATCTTTATCTTTGATTTAAATCATGACTGTTTTTTTAATGCTATGTGATTTCCCACAATGAACTTAACAAGGGATTATGTTTTCCATTTCTGGTTGAATGAAGAAATAAATTAACAGAAATGTAAATAGAAGATATTCCCATGAAACTGCGAGTTAGGGGATTTACCCCCTATTTGTTAAAAGTTAAACATTTACAAAAGAAAATAAATACTGGACAGCTCTCTCTTCTTGGCCCTTCCCCTCTCATTTCCCTTCCCTTGTATGTATTTCTAATTGACATACTCATATAATTTGTTTGTTTTTTTACTAGTTGGATGAAGGAATATACCAGGAGCTTTAAATAATTGATTTTTACTTGACTCAGGTTCTACTTCTTAACTGGTGGTTACCGAAGTTTTCTCTTAATGCTTGCAAAGCTGAGCTAAAAATATCTTGCAGTCAAGTTCAGCATGGCTACATGTTGAAAATGGTTTGGACCTAATGTTCTGCCATTAAATAAATATTTTAATACTTTTCTTTAGTTAGGTATATCAGGCTTGTATGGCAAGGCTTTAGTAGTTGGGGGGGGGGCACAGGGAATGCTTTTGGGAGAAGGTTCTAGAACCTTTCTCCATGTCAGACAGAGAAAACATTCCAGCCAGAAAAAAAAAAAAAAAATCAACCTGCACTGCTTCAGAAAAAATGGGGAGTGAGACTACGTGAGAGAAACTCTACAGACACCTGGGTCAGGGCAGAAGGAGGGGGAGCAGGTGCTCCAGGTGCCAGAGATGATGTTCCCCTGCAGCCCCTGGCGCAGCCCTGGTGAAGCAGCTGTGCCCCTGCAGCCCATGCATGTCCACAGTGGAGCAGAGATCCTCCTGCACCCCCCAGCTCAGAGCACTTGGGGCCTGAAGGAAATTTCTGTGACCCTGTAGGATCCCGTGCTGGAGCAAGATCCTGGCAGGACTTGTGACCCCACAGAGTGGGGACTCACGCTGGAGTGGCTCAGGATAAACTGCAGCCTCTGGGAAGGACACATGCTGGAAATGCTCATGGAGAACTGTCTCCTGTGGGCCTGACCCCACACTGGAACAGGGGAGGAGTGGGAGGATTCTGCCCCCTGAGGAGGGAGTGGCAGAGACAACTTGTGATGAACTGACCACAACCAATCCACATCACCCTGTGACATTTTAGGGAAGAAGAATTCAAGGGTGAAGTTGAGCCCAGGAAGAAAGGAAGGATGAGGGGAAGGTATTTTTTTTAAGATTTGTGTTTATTTTTAATTAATCTATTCTGATTTGTTTGGTAATAAATAAAATTAACTTTCCCCAAGACGAGTCTGTTTTGACTGTGATGGTAACTGGTGAGTGATGTCTCCCAGTTGCCATCTTTATCCACAAGCTTTTTGTTGTGTTTTCTGTCCCCTGTCCAGCTGTGGGGGGAAGAAATACAGTGGCTTTGGTCGGCACCTGGTGTCCAGCCAGGGACCAGCCACCACAGAAAGCTAGAGAAACTGGAAAAAAGCACATAAATGACTGATTTCAGTTCAGCTCTAAGGGTCAAAAGAGTATAAATAATTACTATGCCTATAGAGAAGACTGTTTTATGCTCTCCAAGCCAGTTCAGAGGAGTCAGTGCTCTTTCTCTCATTCCCCTGGTAAAGCAGTATATGTGTTAATTATTGCTGTAGCTGTTGCAGTTTAAACCAAATGGGGAAAAGAGACTGCATGAAAGTCAAATTGAAGTAGTGGGAGCTGGCAGCTTTTTACTCAATGGCCATCTGCAGCCTTGCAATATTGACCTGATCTCTGGAAAGGTCACAACATGCTCTGTGACTGAAATGGCAAGTGCAGAAGAATATGTACTCATCCAGCTCCTGTAGAATTTAGAATTAAATATCTAGGTATAAGTTCCAATTTTAGAAGTGCATATTACCTTTATTTAAAGGTATTAAAGGGTGGAACTAAGTTCATTTTTTCAGTAAAGAACGGGATTCAATAAGCAGCTGGGTTTTCTGTAGCATTTACCACCTACCTAAAGGGAAAATAATCTGTTCTATAAAAGCATAATTAGGGATATCACCAAGTGGAAAACTTGGAAACCCAAAGACAATAAAGTCACATTAATGAAAAAATAATTATATTTTCATTCGCATAAATATTCATTAATTTATTTTTAAAATTACTTATATAAATAGGTTTTGGCATTTTAAAATTTCATTAGAAATACACAAGTTTATTGAGAAGCATTTTTTCCCCCAAAAAGATGCTTTATAAGCCTCTTCTGAGACACAACTCTATTATCTCAAACTCTAAGTAACTACAAATAGAAAAAGACAAATATTTTTCAGATTAATCCTATTTTCTTGAGGAGAGAAAAAATTATGGCTATCACATTAAATATTTAGATATTTGGATAATTGCACATTATTCATAGTGAGGATAGTGAACCATTTCTCAGGAAAAAGTAACTGATGATGAACAGAACTCATATACTTCTAATTGTGACACCTATTGACCAAGAGAGGAAAACATTTAAATGTCTGAAAATAAATCTGAAGGATAACCTATAACTGATGGTTTAAAACTCTGGAAACTTCTCTTTCAAAAAAGACTAAAGTAAGTTCAGATCCCTGTTCCTTGATTTTGGGTTAGGGTTTTTTGTGCTTAGTTGATTGATTGGTTTGTTTGTTTGTTCATTTATTGCAGTTTTTTATTTGTCTGTTTTGTTGGTTGACTACCAAGGAGTCTTGCCAGTGGATTTGAGGTTGGACTGAGAGCACTTTTGGCCCTGATGTCCTCTAATATTACGGCAGTGAATTTGTAAGCCTTACCTGAGTAACACAATGGGATAGGAATTTATCTTGGTGGGTTGATGGCAGCTAGCAAGGAGCAGTGACATGACAGATAAATCTACCCTTATGGGGCTCTGCCAACTGCTGCTTACCCCATTCCATGGACAAAACAAAAGCAAATGTAGTAAACATGTCACTGTCATTGGGTGGAGTTGTACTGTTCCTTTCAACTTCTCTGCCCTGCTCTAAATCAGCAAAGAAGCCAGAAACCACACATCACATTTGAACCAGCCTTTGGGCATCTGTCCATTTCAGGAGCAATGCTAGCTAGAATTGAAAATTCAACCTTACTTTTTTCTCTTCTGATGACTTTTTGACTTAGCCTTGTCATGCAGGAGGTTTAAAACATCTGAAGGTTAATTCAGCATACTCTTAAAGAGAGTAGGGGGCAGGGGGTAGGACAAGAATTTTAATATTTTGTCAAGTAGAGGTTAATGATATTATGTTCTGCTAACTATTTTTCCCTGGAAATATTATTTTTTCCTGTCATGCTGTCCCCATTTTAAGTCAGTTCATTGCATAGGTACTATTGAAACTTCAAATTGATCCAAAACATGGGTGACCCTACACCCTTTTTGTTCACACCAGAAGAATTATAGTTCAGCCTGGTATTGAATTCATCAGAAAACTTTGCAAAGAAATCTCTTGCTCAGCTTTAATTAGGATTAACCAGTCAGAGGTCATAGTCTGTTCTGGTTAATACCACTTCTACCACCTGAAATATAAATGGATTATAAGATTAAGCCTAGTTTCTGAATATGTCAAAAATATATTATACATGTAGATGATACTATAGTTCAAAAAATTATGAGAGAAAGACTTCACACACTCTTGTGGTTTTTTTTTTTGGTTTTTTTTTGTTTTTTTTTATTAGAGTTAGGACCACTTTCTTTTAACAGTACTTTAAGAAGATTTTATCTTCTCATATCCTTGATTTATGTTATATGTGCAAGATACCTCGTACATACAGTTTGGGATTCATCAAACAATCTCATTATCACTTCCAAATTGTGTTACTTTGTCAAAAAAAAAAAAAAAGAAAAAACAAAAAAGAAAAAAAACCTTTTTTTTCCTTTAATAATATGGGAAGTAGATAATACAAATTCCTTTAGGTCTGATAAATCTTCAGAAGCCATTACGATGACAGTAAAGAAAAATGGATGCCACTTACACAAGCAGTTTAACATTGATGAAAATTGCAAGTCACTTGTACAAAAACATGCTGAACTTACATTTGAAAAACCACACGATGGAAATAAAAAGAGGAGAAGTAAATTTTAAGCATAAAGCCATATGCAAGAAAAATACTCAAACATCAAAGCAAAGACAGAGGAAGGGAAGGTGAACAAGAGTATGGATGATCTTGTATGTGCACATAAGAGAAAATGTATACATAGACAATTATGTTCTTATATATATACATTCCATATAAATGAAAAAAATGTGACTGTCTTATTTTATGCCGTCATAATTCCAGCATAGTTGCATACATTTTTCTTGCAAGTCCACAAAATATCTCAGGGCTTTAAGTTCAAAGGCTCTTATAGGTAGTGTAGAGCTTATTCATTACATATAGGTGATCATAATTACACAAGAAATTAATTAAATGTCATGATTAAAAGCAACTTTTGAAGTAAGATTTCCTCCTGAGCTCAATGAGAACTCAGAGGGCAAATATTTTTGTGGAGATCTTGCCTTTGTGAGTGTCATTTAATGTATTGCAAAGAAGTCCTCTTTTCCTGTCAGTTTTCAGGACAGAATATGCACAGCATTAGTCAGCTTCTGTACTAAACTATCTACTTTTGTGCAATTTTAATCAAATTCCCTTCTCTTCAACATCCCTTTTGAAGTGGAAATGTTTCACTTTCAGCATCCGTGATGTTAGAAGAGTTGGTCTTTGCCTAATATGAAGGTCAGTTGAAACTAATGCATTATCTACTCTCCTGCAGCTTTCATATTTGTCCCATGTTGAATATTTTAAATTATTTCTCAACATGACCAAATATTTTATTATTAACACTTACACACACATTTCATGTATTTTTATCTAATATTTAATGCTAGAGAAACCTCCCTTCCTCTACTCCACAAGAGGATGAATCTAAAATTACTTGATACAGGTCAACACTTATACCAGTTTAGGACCACACTCTATACAGATCTAAGTCCAAAATAAAAGGAGAGGTGGATGGAAATTATGCAATCCTGGATTTATTG